TTTTTTTTTTTTTTTTTTTTTTTTTTTTTTTTTTTTTTGGTTGTTAAGGGATTAATTTGGATGATGAATCTTGATAGCTTTTTTTCTTTAGCTGATATCTCCATGTTTATGAACTTTTGCTAGATGTTGTATCTATTCCAAAAACCAATGAGAATTTCCGTCTACTTTATGATACCAAGGGTCGATTCCGGCTCCATTCTGTGAGGGATGAGGAGGCTAAGGTTTGTTTTCTTTAACCCTTAATTTCTTATGTGCTAATAAAAAACTGGCATATTGTATGACTACTAGTAACACGCTAGCTGACCTGCCAGTTCAAATTCTCTGCTTGTAGACATTTTGAGAGTAATTGCACTTCCTCTTCTCCATTCTCCCATAACAGAGATGGGAAATGGAAAATAATGTAAAACGGAGAACTAAAATTGGATGAATGATTCCTTTAAATTTGAAATAAACCAGATGAACCTAAATTTACTTATTCATTCTTTAGATTTTCAAATCAATTCAATAAAGTCTTGTTGACATTATCAACCAATTCGGAATGCTGTTCCTTCAGCATTCTATTAATCTGATATATCTTGATGAAAGTTCTTAATTTGTGGTTCTGCAGTTTAAACTTTGCAAAGTTCGATCTGTCCAGTTTGGGAAGAAAGGCATTCCCTATCTCAACACCTATGATGGAAGGACAATTCGCTATCCAGACCCACTCATCAAGGCAAATGACACAATCAAACTTGACCTTGAGTCAAACAAAATTGTTGATTTTATCAAGTTTGATGTTGGCAATGTTGTGATGGTGACCGGTGGAAGGAACAGGGGACGTGTTGGAGTGATCAAGAGCCGTGAGAAGCACAAGGGAAGCTTTGAAACTATCCACATCCAGGATGCTCTTGGTCATGAGTTTGCTACACGTCTGGGCAATGTGTTCACTATTGGAAAAGGTACAAAGCCATGGGTGTCTCTTCCAAAGGGCAAAGGTATTAAGTTGTCCATCATCGAGGAGGCAAGAAAGAGGCTTGCTGTCCAATCAGCAACAATAGCATAGATATATACGAATTTCTTTCAGGCAATTCTTGAAGTAGATTTTTACTTTCATGCTGGCTCGAACGCTGTCCTATTGTTATTATCGGACATGTTTTGGAGAAGTTACATTTTGTTTCCATTTGTTAACAGTTTTGACTTATTTATTATGTTCTTCGGATTTTTTTAATTGATTTGGATATTTATGTGACAACTTTTATTGATTTATTTTATGTGTTCTTATACTTTGTGCTGATGTCCCATACAAAATTATGACTTGGACACCTGGCTTCAGGTATTTTAAACTTGAAAGGTTGGAGTTTTAAATGTCAACGAAAAAGGTTGGGAACGTTTGTTTTCTATGATAGTCATTCATTGGTACATTAAGCCTTTGTTTGAGCCACATTATATTTATAAAAATG